CCCCCGCACCCTGAAGGCAGAAGTTTTTTAAAGAAAGTCCCAGCCTTAGAAGAAGGCTTCCCACAGAGCAGGCCTCAGAAATATTTGTGGAATGAATGAGTAAATGCAGAATGAACAAGTGACTTCCCTTCCTAGGCCCTCCTTTCCTCACCTGTACAACTGAGTTGGATCCAATGAAAGTCCCCCCTCAACTGTGAGAGTCCCCGGCTCCTCACAACCTTACCTGCTAAACGCCAGGCCCTAGGCCTCCTACAGCGCACCTGGCGGGGTGGGGAGGGGCTGGGAAGTGTGGTCCGGGTTTTGTGGGAGGGGAGACCTGAGGCGAGGCTTGCCTGGGAGGGGATGGAAGAGGAGCCCCCCTCCATAGAAGGAGCTGCCCCTCCTTGCTCGCCCATGGACCACTCTCCTCTGACCAGAAGGCATTGGTCACTTGGAGAAGTCGAGCTGAGGGATTCCGGGTTGGTCGTATAAAACATCCCCTCGAGGCAGGGAGAGCTGGTGGCTCTTTTCCTGCTCCCTTAGAGGGGTGGAAGGTAGGCTACGAGGGTCCTGAAGGCTCTCAAAATGTATGGAATTATCACCTTTCCTGATACGTTAGTGGTCAGGAGAGGCAAGAGGGGAGGGATCACTAGTCAGTCACTCATCTTCACACCAAGGCCCCCAGGCAGAGGCACAGGGGCTCTTAATGCTGTTGAGGGGAGAACCTGAGATGAACCTTTGAAGGCTGATGGAGGTTTTACTAGGCGCTGGGAGTCCAAGATGCATGAGACTCAGGTCCCACTCTGGAGCGGCTCAGACTAGTATCTAATACATTGAGCACAATGATGAATGTGTTATTACCAGGCAACTTATTTGGGAGCAAACAAGGGAATGATCCCAACTTTTCCCACCATGGGAGGGGATGTCAAAGGAGGTCTCCTGGAGGTGACATCCCTGAGCAAGACTCAAAAGGTAGAGAAAGGCGGGCAGAGCTCTTGGCGGGGCGCGCGAGTGCAGTGTCCGACCTTCCCGATCATGGAGTCAATGGTGAGAGGTGAAGGCTGTGACTCTGGAAGGTGAGAGTGAAGCGCAGAGAGCTGAACCAGCGTGTCAACCAGCTCTGTGTCTGTGCCGCCCTGCACAAGGCAGAGCAGGCTCACCCCAGGGAGGGTGCATCCTAGTCCAGAGGGCCCCTCACTCATTCGAGAAGCACCTCTGAAGGCCCCTCCTGGGCCCAGCTTGGCACAAGGCCCCGGGGGAGGCAGGGGCATGCAGAGTGAGATGGGGCCAGTGGTCAAGAGACTTGGGCCATTAACAGCGGTGCTCCTGGTTGGCTGTGTGACTCTAGGTGAGCCTGGAACCTCTCTGAGCCTCAGCTCTCCTAACTGTAGAGGTGACAGATTCCACCTGCCCTGCATGAGTCCTGGGTTAGACTGAGGGACAAATGAGATAATCTCAGCATATGCACTTAAAAGTGTATGACAGAGGGACACAAAATAGCACACAGCAAGGTCTCCGTCCTTCAAGAGCTTGCAGTAGTCTTTGTAGCATAGAGCTCCAGCCTAGGCCCCCCAGTTTTCTATTTTAATCTGGACCTCCTGGTCCCTTGGGACTGGCCCACTCCCTGCCTAGCCTTATGCTTGTGTTGGTTTCCTTCCTGACCCCCACGTCCAAATGAAGGCTCCCCCTTGTGGCCTGTCCTGGAATAACATGTCTCTGAGCAGGAAGAGATGGGGTGAGGTTGACCACAAAAAGGGGAGCAGGCTCTAGCCGGTTTGGCTCAGTGGATAGAGCCTTGACCTGCGGACTGAACGGTCTCAGGTTTGACTCCAGTCAAGGGCACATGCCTAGGTTGCAGGCTCAGTCCCCAGTAGGGGGCATGCAGGAGGCAGCTGATCAATGATTCTCTTTCATCGTTGATGTTTCTACCTCTCTCTCCCTCTCCCTTCCTCTCTGAAATCAATAAAAATATATATCTTTTAAAAAAGGAATAGAAAGAAGCCAGAAGAGGAAGAATATGAAGACCTGGGAAAGAAACAGGGCAAACCTTCAAAGAAAGTAAATTCTAAAACAGAATGTTAGATGGGAAGGTACCTGGGACCCCTTCCCACACCCCATTTTACAGATGAAGAAACTGAGGTTTTGTGAAGGAAGTTAGGGGCGGGACCATGACTCAGGTGTCCAGACACTCCTACGCTGGTGCTCACTCCATTACACCAAGTATCACATGCATTTATACAACTCAGTGAACAAATAATCCAGACTGCCAACTCCCCTCTACATCTGGTAGCGTCCCCCTGAGGGCCTCTGACCATGTAGCAGCCTCGCCCAGGGCAAAGATCCCCCAGTGCCAGAGACTGCATCCAGAGTTGCTGGTGTAACCCCAGAGCTAATCCATCCTGGACCCAGAGATCAGAGGGAGACAGCTCTCTGGGATTTTCTGTCTTTACTGGGGTCTGGGGGCGGGGAGGAGGGCGGGGACACACCAAATCCACAACTAGATGACCACCTCAGCAGAGGGGTGAGCGTGGGGGTGTGTGTGCGCGCTACAGTTGCAAGTACTAGTATGGAGTGCTTTATCCAAAGTTTTTTTAAACCTGCATTTTCTAATTTAGTCCTTGCTGCTATTATTAGCCCGCTTTAGAGATGAGAACAATGAGTCACCAACGGACCAAGCGACTTGCCAAGGTCAAGAAGAACACGAGTGCAGCGTATACAGAAGGCACTGATCGATGCCATTATGTGCCCGTGACTAACTGTCTTGTTGTTATGGAGCTGATTTTAGGAGGAACTCTTTCCCAACCTGTGGTCCCCTTCCTCCGACAGCACGGTGATTTCTCCTGCCCTCCTTGGATACTGGCAGCCAGGAGGAGGCTTGGCTCCATGTTTAAGGGAC